ATTGTATGCGCGTGCGCATTGCACAAGTCCGGGCGGCGCCACTCGCCCACTCTCACTACGACACCATGGCGTTTATACATACCTGGAAACAAACATCCTTATTATTATCACAAAATCTTATAAAATCATTATAAAGTAGTAGTAAATATTAAAACTTAGGTCAATTTTAATAATCGATTTTACAATAGAAGGAGGTAGTCTATTTGAATATACACTTTATAGTATATGGTGCGCTATGTCTTCGCCAAATTGAGAAACGGTTTTCAAGAAACTTTTTTTAATATAAACAATTTCTAAGAATAAAATAATCATTTTTAAGATGCTTTTGGAATCAGTGTAACTTAGTATAAAAGTAATCATATTTTTTTTGACAGAATAACTCTGCACTTATATAATTTAATATTGCAACTATAATACATATTATGTATTAAAATATTGTATATATTGTATTTAACGTAACGGTTAAACGCCCAAAAAAAACATTAATTTCTACAAAAAAAAACTATTTACATATTAGCAAATAAATACTTTGAAACTAATTATGTCATATTAGCTGTACTTTTATTGTATAACGTTTTAGCAATCCATCCATTACATATACAATTAGGGCAGAGATTCGCTTGCGTGCATATAATTATATATTATGACTACACTTAAGATAGAAACTATGTTACTCATTCCACAAGCCAGTATTATCTACTTATATCATTCATTTAGAACAACAATTCATATATTTAAGCAACAATTACGGCACTATTGGGTGGGTAATTGAACAGAGTGCGTGAACGAAATTGTGAAATCAATATTCGCGTGAAGCTGTTATGTACTTATTTCGTTTTTATTTAGTTATTAAAGTATAATTGTTACTTTATAATAATAATAATAAGCCTTTTTATTTCCTTAATTAAAATTGACAATTGGTTTAATTAACATTATTAGGTTTTGATTTGATTAGATAGTTGAATATTTATATGTTACATATTAATGCAATGAATAACTACATAATTATAATGAGATACATTAAGTTATAATCTAAAGAAATTATATCTAGCAAATTTATTACATAATCTATATTAAATTTAGTTTTATATATTAATCATTATCATTATTTTTATATGCATTATTATAAAATATTAAAAAAAAACATTGTTTAACAATTATTTTGTTTGATTAGTTATTATTTTTATGCAACATTATAATTAATTTAAACTATGAAAAAATAATAATTAAGAAATTAATTAACTTATAATATAAATAAGTTACACTTAGCAGATTGTAATTATATAAGTTAAATAAAATTTTACATATTTTCTTCACTTATTTTTTTTTTTGTTATCATAGCTATATATTATAAATTATTTGAAAGTAGGTATTTTTTTTTATTTTTTATTTTAAATTAAGGACCTCTCTTCGAGTAAAGGCCTCCTTCATTTGTCTCCAGGTAGTTCTTTCTTTTGCTGCGTCTAACCAGTCTGTCCCTGCTGTTTTTAGTACCTCGTCTATCCATCTCTCCATAGGTCTTCCTCTTCTTCTTTTGCCGCTAGGGCCAGCCCATATGGTTACCTTTTTAGTCCATCTGTCATCAGCCATACGTGCAACATGTCCAGCCCATTGCCATTTAAGTTTTTTACAGTGCTTTAAGGCGTCTATTACATTTGTGGTTTTTCTTAAATATACACTTCTTTTCTTGTCTTTTCTTTTAAGATTTCAGATACTTCTTTCCATAGATCTTTGGCAGGTTTGAACTTTGTTTTTAGTATAGTTGTTAAATATCCAGGTTTGTGATGCATAAGAGAGACAGGGTAAGATACATGAGTCTAAGATTTTTTTCTTGAGTTTTACATTAAGGTTTGATTTTAGTATTTCTTTGTTGCTCCAAAATTTGTTCCAGGCTAAATTTATTCTTCTCTTAAGCTCTTCGCGGTGTCTAGTTTTTTTGAATGAAATTTGCTTGCCAAGATACACATACTCTTGTACATATTCCAATGGTATATTATTGACTATAATATTTATTTTTGAGGAGTTCGTCATTACTTTTGTTTTTGTTATGTTCAGTTCCAGGCCAATCTCGTGACTAACAGTATATAATTCATTAATCATTTCTTGAAGTTGTGATGCAGTTTCTGAGAAAAGTATTATGTCATCCGCGAATCTAAGGTTACTTAGGAACTCACCATTTATGTTAATACCTTTTTCTTTCCAGATTAGTTTTTTCATTATGTTTTGAAGGACTGTTATAAAGATTCTCGGAGACATAGGGTCTCCCTGCCTTACGCCTCTACATATTTTAATTTTTGAGCCTCGAACGTCCAATTTTACTCTACTTATACTTTTACTGTATATATCTTTTATGAGTTCTATTGTTTCCAAAGGTATGTCACATTCATATAGAGCTTGCCACATGCTGTTGTGGGATATTGAATCAAACGCTTTAGCATAGTCTATGAAAGCCAGGTATAAGGGGCACCTTTGTTCTTCGTATTTTTCTATTATTAGATCTAGTGTATGTATGTGGTCTATGGTAGAGAAGTTCTTTCTGAAGCCTGCTTGTTCTACAGGCTGTTGTCGTTCCGTATACTTGGCGAGACGTTCTTCAAGAAGTGATGCAAAAAGTTTGTACAGATTCGGTTGTAAGCTTATAGGTCTATAGTTACTTATATTCGAAGGATCACCTTTTTTATATAGTAAGATAATATCGGTAATAATAAGAAAAATACCCAAAGAGTGGGCTGAACCCACTCTTTGGGTATTTTTCTTTCATTTAATATTTTGTTAAAGAGATCAGATAGTGGTGCTGCTAGCAGGTTTTCTCCCGTTTTGATTGCTTCGTTTGGTATACCGTCGGGACCGCAACTTTTTTCATTTTTTAAAGTTCTTATTTTACTTGCGATTTCTTGTATGGTGAATCTTTTAATTGTTGTCAAATTTTGATTCGTTGGCAAGGCTTGAAATGTTGTATTTTGTATGTTGCTATAGAGCTCTTTGTAGAATAAAGTAGCTGTCTCTATGATTTTTGATCTTGAAAAGGACTTCTTCTCCGTAGATATATCTTTAAGGCAAGGTATCCACCCCTTGGCAGAAATGAGTTCTTTCAGTCCTTTTTTCTAATTGTTACTTTAATTCGTAACAATTTATTAGCCGGAGGCTAAATATCTTATACTATTAAGTGAGCAATTCTTGTATATATGTAGGTATATGAATTTATTTCGTATATCTCGGAAAGTGCTCTAACGATTTAGATCAAATTTTGTATTTTTTGTATTTACGGTTTCACGTTTTAAGTTTATCTATGTATATAGGCGTCTTTTCTGAAAAAAACGCAATTTTTATATCTTATCACAAAAATTCCCAAATACTAATACTATACGATATTGTATAGGCATTAGTTCTAATATACATTTTTGTTATAAATATTATTACAATTACTAAAAAAATTGTGTTATAAATTTAATAAAGAAGGTATGGTCAAGGCTTGCTATGCCTTAGTATAAATACAAACTACACAGTACACAGGTTGTTATGAATTAAACAAACAAACATTTGTTTTTTTAAATAATAAATTAGTGATGGCAGTGGTAGCCCAGTGGTAACGCGCTCGCTTGGGAAACCGAGTGAAGCGGGTTCAAATCCCGGGTCTCGCACCTTTGATATTTTCATGTACCAATCATTTGCAACATGATTACCACTTGTCTTACGGTGAAGAAAAAGAACGTGAGGAAACCTGCATATCTGAGATAACCTAGCAAGTTTTCGAAAGGCATGTGAAGTCCGCCAACTCGCACTCGGCCAGCGTGGTGGACTATGGTTTGATCCCCCTTGTATTAAAAGGAGCCCGTGCCCAGCAGTGGGACGTTAAAAAGGGCTGAATACAAATGAGTGATGGGACTTTAGTAGCGTAAGCATTTAGTTATTTCCTCTACGACTTGCACTAAGTCAATAGCAAAGTGAGCCGTGAGAGCAACTTTTTGTAGTGGTCTAGTTCAGTAGACCAGCCGTCCGGACGTCGTGGCTCAGTGATAGTGATCGTTCGATGCCTAAATAAGACGGATTTGCCGTTGGATTTAATTGGATAGTACTGGTTATATATTCACTACATAATCACTATACGTGTTGTATACATAAATGCATTTGCCGACGTTAAAAGAAAAAGTTAAAATGTCAGTTAATACTTTCTTAGATTTAAGCGAATATTTAACTATTTTAAATAAAACTATTTTTTCGGATTTTTTCGCGGATTTATTTTGATTTTTAGTTCCCGACACGACGTTCCGAATGCTTAACAGCGATCATGGTCAGGGAAGAGACTAAGGTTTTAGACGTTCAAATGTCAGAGTGAATATACAGAGTGGATTTTCAAGACGGGGCAGTAAGGGCAGATACCTTAACTGCTATAGTTACAGAAAAATGTTCCTAGGAGACCATCCATAACTTTTTGAGATATTCTGAACTTTATTCACAGATTTTGGAAAAAATACAGTTAGCGAATATAAAATACCAAAATAAAAATTTATGCTTATCGATCCTATTTCATGTAAGGATCAAAAGACTGGAACCATTAAGGTCTGAGTACTAGAAATGACAGAAATCGCCAAAAACTTTTCCCATCCATTTGGTACGGTAATACGATTAATCAACTCGATATAAGACTTTGAGGCCAACTGAAGTTTGAGTACAGAAACTACGGTAAGTCACAAGACCAGGCATTTTATGCAGTGGGCATAAGATAAATTTTGCAATTTTTGTTAAGCCGTTCTCGTGGCATACTATACCTAGAAACAAAAGTATCTACCGAAGTAGAAAATCATAGTTGTATCAACAAATAAAAATTAAATTAAATTAACTAAACGTGTATTTTTAAACACGATATCCATACAAGAAAATTATCAGCTGCTACTTGCTCAGTACAAAAACGAGATAATAAATGCGCAAAAAACTAAAAGGACAGGATTTTATTTAAAATTAAAATGTCAACGTATATATATACTTGCCGAGGGTAGCTAGTGCGCATGCGCATCAGCGTACAGCGTGGTGGCGATGTAGGTGGTGGGCACGAAGCCCTCCTCGCGCGTGTGCTGGCGCCGCACGCGCGTCCAGCCGTCGCCCGCGTCCGTCTCCAGCACCAGCAGCCGCTCGCCGCACTCCATTTGCATTGTTGATCCCGTACCGTTCGCTGGGGCAGAACGATATATTGCTAATTACATTATTATTAACATTTGATTTTTATTAATATTATTTGTATTTGTATATACATTTACCAGTTCATTTTTATTATGTTATTTTTTAAGTATTTTCTATTAGTAATAGACAGTAATGATAAGGGGAGAAACAATATTTTGCCCGCTCGACACCAATGTTGGTATTCGGACATAGAAAATTTGCTTCCATAGATAAATAGATAGATAGATAGATGCTTTATTGTACACCACAAATAAATATACAAAAAGAAGATATAAACAATAGATGATGCACAGCAGGCGGCCTTATCGCTATAAGCGATCTCTTCCAGGCAACCTTAGGGCGTAGGAGAAATTATATGAAATGGTAGGCGGTGTACTTACTACACACAATTGCATATCCTAAATACAGATATACATAAATACATACATACATACATACATACATACATATATACATACATTCATACACACACACATACATACATACATACATACATACATACATACATACATACATAAATGCATAAATACAATGCATACATACATAAATGTAGATCAGATGAGAAAGTATAAAAAGTTCAATATAAGATACTATAGAGACAAATAATATGATTTTAACTGTACCTTAAAATTATCAAAACTTTTGGCACGCCTGATGTCTATTGGAAGATTATTCCATAAGCGTGCAGCCTTTACTGCGAAGGAGTTGGTAAGGAAACAGGAGGAGTGAGAAGGAATTTTAAGCAACAACGTTTCACTAGAGCGAAGTGGAAGAGTATGGGTATCACTTAAAAACTGGAAACGCTCTCTAAGGTAGAAAAGAGAAGACGGGTAGAACAGCACGCAGTAGAGAAGATGAAGTACATGAGTATTCCTGCGAAGGCGGATTGGGAGCCACTTGAGCTTTTTGCGAAATTCTGAAACATGGTCATATTTACGAAGGCCAAATATAAACCGAATACAAAGATTTTGAAACCGCTCAAGTCTATTTAGATGCTCCTCTTTAACGTCTAGATAGCAAGTATCAGCGTAATCAAGAATTGGTAAAAGGAGTGAATTTGCTAGTGCAATTTTGGTTGATATGGGCAAAAAATTTCGCAACCTCCGAAGAGCGGAAACTGCACCAAACATCTTTCGGCTCAGTTTACTTACCTGTGGTGCCCAAGATAAATATTGATCAAAAATGATCCCCAGGTTCTTTACCTTATCAGAATACTGAATTTCGACACCATTCAATATAACCGGTGGCGTCCCAGATCGTGATATTTTTGATAGTAACCTCTGGCTGCCTATTATAATTGCTTGTGATTTAGAAGGATTAATATCAAGGCCATAAGATTCACTCCATGCTGAAATACAGGTCAGACCTCTATTAATTAAACTAATTGCATGAGGTAAGTCTGGCACAGATGACGATGTGTAAATTTGTAAGTCGTCCGCATATAGGTGGTAGAGAGAAGAGATTTGATGGGGAATAGAATTAATGAAAATCGAAAATAAGAGAGGAGACAACACGCCACCTTGTGGTACACCGGCTTTAACCATAGACCAATCAGAGAAAAGATCTTCAATTCGTATGCGTTGCCGGCGCCCGCACAAGTAACTACGAAACCAATCAATCACCTCAGGAGATATGTTAAGAGAAGATAATATGGCAAGTAGGATATCAAAATCTACAGTATTGAAGGCATTACTGAAATCCAATAATGTCAATATGGTAACTTTCTGGCTGTTCATACCTTCTCTAATATCATCTGCAATTTTGACCAAGGCAGTAGTCGTACTATGACCGATACGGAAACCGGATTGAAAGGGATTTAACAATTTGTGATTGTAAAGAAAAGTACTTAGCTGTCGGTGCACAAGTCGCTCCAGCACTTTCGACAAGAAAGGGAGAATAGAAATTGGACGATAATCGGAAAAAGAAGAAGGATTAGATTTTTTCGGTATAGGAATTATTTGTCCATCTTTCCAGGAAGTAGGAAATTTATGGGAGCATAAGGAAAAATTTAAGATTGAAGTGATTGTAGGAGCTATTATTTCAAGGACGGGAACGATCATTTTACGACTAATGCAGTCGGCCCCAACAGCATTGGATTTTATAGACAAAATATTTCTCTTAACATCACTTATGGAGAATTGACTAAATTGAAAATGCGGAATATCAGGAGTAGGTGAAGCTGAAAGATGATTTATTGTGGTAACCTTTTTTGTACTATCAATAGTACCTGAAAGTGAGAAGTGCTGATTTAACAGATTTAAATCGATATTATGAGGATTAATATTATTTTGTGTCTTCCCTACTCCAATAGATTTGAGAAAATTCCAGATTTTATCTGAATCTTCTTCTTCAATCACAGATTTATAGATATGGCGTCGTTGGCTATCTCTACACACCATATTGCAACGATTACGCGCCTTGATATATTTTCTTTTGTTATTGTCATTGGGATTTGCAGCATATTTCGATTTAGCCATATATTTTTTGTTTTGCAGTTTTTTAATCTCAGGGGTAAGCCATGGAGCCGGAAGATGCTTCATTCGGACAGGTCGAACAGGAGCGTGAATGTCATAAAGCCCAATTAAAAGTGAAGTAAATATTGACATTTGCTCATCAATGGTTTCCGCCTTTGAAACCACCCCCCAGTCAATCCGTTCAGCGTCTTCTCGCAAACGTTCCACGTCCATACTACCAAAATTGCGCTGCAGAAGAATTCTTGATTTAGCTTTTGGCGGCTTTAATTTATAAGATAGAAAAATTAGGTCATGAAAGGAAAACTCTAGAGCAGAGCACTGACCATGCTTAGCAATATGATCAGTGGAAGAAACAATTATAAGATCAAGGAGCGAGGGACTGCAATTTGGGAAGTAATGGGTAGCGTCTAATGGAAGAATATTTAAATTCCCTCCATCAACTAAGCAACAGAGGCGATTAGCTCGGTGATCGTTCTTTAGAAGACAAGTATTGAAATCACCCATAATCACGGCATGATCATAGAGAGGCCTATATTCATATTCCATACAACTTATACAGCATTTGTTTTAAACATTTCTAAAGAAATCATCATTTTATCTATTCAATAAAAATAATCGTAACATCTAATCGGATAAAATCAAAGTTACATACATAATAATGTATGTACAAGCTGATTATGGTATCGGTGAGCAAATTGAAAAAATATTAGCCCCCAAAAGGGAGCCTAACGCCCATAATAAGTGCCTCTTCATAATTAAAATTAAATTCCAATTAATTTAAAAACAATAACAAACAACACAAACCTTCAAAAGCATAAAGCGCTTTACAATAACCCAACGGTTGCAAGTCCGCTTCATAATAATAATCAAAGTCCGATTCGTGGTCGTGGTCGTGGTCATCGTGGTCGTGGTCGCCGTTGGTGTGGTCGGCGTGGGCGGCCGCCAGCTCGCCGCCGAGGCCGGACTCGGGGGAGCCGCCGGCGGCGCGGCCGACCACCGCGCCGGCGCCGGTCGCCGTGCAGCCGGTGCCGGTGCTCACTGACGACTCGGACGCCGACCGGGACAATGATTCGCTGTTTGATCCGATACTGTTTTATAAATTGTGCGTTATTTGTTGCTTTTAGAATGTGTTTAAGGTGTTGAAGTGTGTGTATCTATTAGATATTAATTTTGAATGAAACCGATTTGAATGAAAATTAGCTATGTGTTAGGCTAACTTGAATCAAATAAAAAATAACTTACAAAAATAAAAATTTGACTGCGTAAAAAGCGAACTTAAAAGATGATAACAAGTTGACGAAGAAACAGTATTATTGTAGTCCTAATACATCCGCATGGGTGTACTTTTACCTCTTCCGGTCTACAAATAAAATAATTGATCGTAAAATATATTATATACAGCAGTACAAAAGCCGGTTTCAAAGTTAAAGCTCAGTGCTTGCCATCTCGTGGCAAGTTATAGTTTTACTTGTCAACCCTATACCCGTTTCCCGACTGTCATATAAAACTAAGTATGACAGTCGGGTGGGGCTCACCCGTGTCTTTCCTAGCTGACGATTGCTCTGTTTAGACGCTTTCAACGCTATTAAAATAGTCTGATATTATCACTGTGAGTACTGTAACGTGCCTAAGGAATCGCCTCATACACCATACATAATTTATGTAAATTAGTACATATTTTTATTATACATATAATAAAATTGTAACTAAGCCGAATCTGTACATTAAATATTTTGTAGAAAATCTTATTGAAATAGGCATTATTATCGATACAGAGGCCAAAACTATAGTTTTTAGAATTTTTGTCTGTCTGTCTGTTACCGCATGACGGAAAAACCACTGGAGGAATTTTGATGAAATTTGGTATGATGATAGCTGGTTATACTGGTTAACATATAGAATACTTTTACTACGGGAAAATATCTCATTTCTGATAAATCTATGTTAAAGATTAAAACGTAAGTAGGGACGGACCCGAGTGGAGCGGGGATGAGTCGCTAGTCACATGATGTAACAGTATATAATATACTAAACTGTGGTAGTATTTACCTAGTGGCCAGCGTGGGTGCGGCGCCATTAGTCCTGGCGGTGGGGTGTAGGGGCGGCGCACACACTTGGTTATTCGCCTCGGCTAACAATTCTTCATACTTGCGCAGTTGCGCTCTTAGCTTTTTCAGTTTATCACAACATTCGTTTAACTGACCTGGAGGTGTAAGAAGAATTGGACTTTAAGAACTGTTATGTATGCTTACGGGGACGAGAGAAATGCTTGGTAATTGGATACGCACCGGTTTATTGCTCGGCAAGCTTAGCATTGTGGGCGCAGCCACTAATAACATTTTTTAAATTTACCCACACACAAATATATAATAAGAAGTGAGGTATATATGTATATTTAAAAATAAATGTGAGTTATTTGTGTGTGATTTGAGCTAATACGGCTATTTGCAAGATACTATAGTTAAAAAAACAGTCCGTCGAATTGGAATCGAAATATCTGTACTTTATAAATATGCATTTCTTTTCAAGAATTATATTAGTTTTTATCAAATATTTTAATTACATTGAATCAAAAACATTAAACAAAATAAGTTAACATATGATAATGAACTAAATAAAATAATAATACAAATATGAACAAATCATGGTGAAACTAAATGTTGAAGACACAATCAAACCTTCTACAGTCATGGGATCTCCTAGAGTGGGGTTTGTTTCGTATACGCCTTTCATTTTCATGAGACCTTCCATCGCAGCTTGCTCTTGAGCAACCTAAAATAAAAGTTACAATTCCTTTTTAATCCAAACATCGTCAAAGTCCAAATAATCTATATTTATCTAACTGGTTAATTTACGTGTAATGTTGCTGTTAAATGTAATTTTTTTTAATTAAAGATTTTTATGTCACTTATATGAGTTTTTTTATGGAAACATCTTATACAGCTTTAAAATTAAACGTCAAATATATTTGAAGACAGGTACATTACACTTATACATATAGATATACATATAGATATACACACAGGTACAACTTGTCAAAACGAAATATTTTTTTTTAATTAAATAAAATAACCCAAACCAATAATTTTTTTATTATAATTGCAGTATATATAATTAAATCCAACATGTTATTGTGATAATAAAGTTGTAATTGATCGAGAAGGGAATAGAAGCGACGCCATTTATTATCCCATATTATGTATAGGTAACATAAGCTTGCAGCTTTACGTAATCTTAATAAATTAACCGTATACGTAACTTAAATAAATATAATAAAAAATAAAAACACCAGAACAATGTCTACCGCATTTTTCTACCTTTTTTGAAATACGACGATCGTTATAATAACTCGACCATAGCGCTAGTCTGGTGAATTGATTTTTTCTTTCTTAGCACTTTATGAACATATGTATGTATATATATGTATGAGACATATCTGTACTAATATTATAAAGAGGAAAGATTTTTTGTTTGTTTTTTTTTTTTGTACTGAATAAGCTTTAAAACGACTGGACTGATTTAGATGAAATTTGGTAAGATAAGTTGAGACCATGAACAGGACAAAGGATAATTTTTATCCCGGAAATCATCCCTTAAAGGGGTGAAAATGGGGATGAAAGTTTGTATGGAAAATCAACCTATGGTATGGTATATAAAATTAGTAAGTTAAAAATAGCACCACTATATAAGATGTGTAAAATAACCTAAAAATGATATGAGTTATTTTATTTAACGAAATCACAATGATACAAGTTATTTAATACAAATGAAATGTGATATGTTGAAACATATTAGTGGCAATGTAATACCTGCTTGGTCAATTCATGAACTTTCGCTTGTAGCTTCTTTTTCTTTTGATTCGGTGGCAAGTCTGAATAGTCCTCCTTTCCGTCCGTCGACATGTTGTTCTGAAAAATTGACACATTTTTAATATACAATATATAAAAAATATATTAGGTAAATCATTTAATGCACACTCAAAACAAACCATGTAATATTCGTTATTGTTATTACTATTAATAACTTTTTTATATAACTTCATACGTTATAGCGTAAATAAATTACAAAATTAAAATTAATAAATATATTTTTAAACACAAATAAAACATAATGTGAAATGTAATTAAAGCTGGCCAAGCATAATAATAAATTTGTTAGTATTTTATCATATTAGTTATAATTAATAATTATATTTATAAATTAATCGATACTTCTAGAATATGTTATTAAGACACTATTTTACTCTTAACTTTTATAAATAAAGATTCATAATTCTGTTAAAGACGAAAATTTCATTAATATAAAAATATATGAATTCTTCACAGAGTATAATTGGTTATCAAGTGATTTTCTTTATCAAACACACATCACGACTATGTACATGTACATTGCCTTTGTACCAAAAGAACTGTACACCATTCCGTGACCATGAAGAATTAATGATCAAACCCTTACGATGAGAAAGTGCAAACGTGAATAATATTCCAGATTAACTGAAATTGGAAAAAAATACCACATTTACTATCATAAATGAAATCACTTTGCGCAAAATCTACACAAGTTATGATATATTTTATTAGTATATTTACTTATAAAATAAAATTTGACAATATTGTAACATCGACTTTAGTTTCAGGTTATATAATCAAAAAAGTAATTTCATTTGTGAATTATAATGACAGAAAACCAAGAAAATGACAGAAAACAGCATTTTTATAAAACGACCGTGTAAAGTGACCCAACAGCTCGACATCCACACCGACACACAGACTGACCTTGAAAGAGTTGCACGCCTCAACGATCTTCTGTAGCCAAAGCATTAGGCCGGAGCACGAGACGGAAGCAAACAAATCATATTAAACAAAGGGAAGGACGTACAACTTAAACAGGTATATAGAAAAAAGTATAAATCAATAGATATTGATAAATGTAAAATAGTGCTAATAAGGACGTGATCGTTTTAATTTTTGTGGTTGTCGTGGATATGTGCTCATTCATTGTGTTTATTTTCCTTGTGAATTACTTTGCAATTTTTAATCAATGTTTTTAACGCACTTACTATTCTTATAATAAAATCTGCGTATGAGTAGTGACTCTTCATTCGATACAAACAAATAATCCACTTACAGTAAGTATTAAAAGACATAAAAAAACTTCAACAGATGCAACTGCTAATTTGTTCAAACGACCAATACTTGTTGTACTTTACAATTCATTTTTTTCTTCTATTTTGTTTTTAAAAGCTTTATTTATAATATTTACTAGCATTGCCCGCGGCTCCGCCTACGTTCAGATAACCAAAAACCAAATTCTTAGGTTTTACATATTAGTATACTCTTACATTGCAGTTTTTGTATTTTTTTTTTCTCAGAAATGAGATATTTTCCCACGCTATGATCGCGCGATAACCAGCTATCATTATACCAAGATTCATCGAAATCCCTCTAGTGGTTTTTACGTGATGCGGTAACAGATAGACAGACAAAAATTCTAAAAACTATAGAGTCGGCCTCTGTATAGATAATAATGTCTATTTCAATAAGATTTTCCAAAAAATATTTAATGTACAGATTCGGCTTAGTTACAATTTTATTATATGTATAGAATATATATTTTATCTATATTATATTATTATATACAGTAAAATAAAGATTTCTCGTTTCTTTTTAAAATAAAATGTGTATTTAATACCAATAGAATTGACATTTAAGTCAAAATTCTGTAATAAAAACTCTTTCGGTAAATTAGCCATTTGGACAAATAAACACTGAGACGACGAGATATTAAAACATTAGAAATGCATAAACATATTAGTTGACACACACGAACGAGCACGAAAACCCACATGAGGAAAATATGATACAACCAATGAAAATTAAATATTACTTGTAGTTTTAAAACAATTAATAAGAATGAATTATTTTCAATGAAAATGTAACGAACAAAAGCAAGATCATGCATACTAATTACATCCCCACCAACTTACTTTTGTCCATGACGCCGCCGCATTATATCAATGAATGAACCCGAGTTAGGTAGGGATCGGGATAACAGATAAAAAATATATTAGTATTCAAATTATAATCATACACAAATAAATAATTTAACTTAAATAATATAATAAATTAATACATGGATTCTTTTATAACCAATATATTCCCAACACATGCAATGTAAAAAGCTAAAGCCTGTTACAGCCCCATCAGCCTTTATAATATAACTTAATTTGATAAGAGACTACAAAAATTGCAAATTTAACAAATATACATACACAGTATAACTTTTACTAATATAATGCAATTTCTATAGAAAATATTAATTTTTCATGATAATATAACTTGCATAAACTACTGACTGACTATATTACTGAATAGTTTTGTTGTTTTTTCATCAATAACATGAAAATAAAATAGTATTCAAAGCTAAAGATTATCGAGGTTATCATACTTACCTATCTTCTCATCCTTCATAGAAGTACTACAGAATTGACTTAAAAAAATAGGACTCAAAGAAACAAGCATTCGCTTCTATCTTATCATCAATTCAAAATCCATAACCATGAAAGATAACTAAATCAAACAACATTCAAACACCATTCACTCATTTACATTTAAAGTGCAGTGACATAATTCTTTAAACGTCCCACTGCTGGGCATATCCCTTCAATGCTAGAGAGATCGTAGGAGGTACCTAACGACGCTTCTCCTTCGCCGTAAAATTATTCAATAAACTTAATCATGTTGAAATTAATTCGTACATCAAAGTATTAAAAGTATAAAAGCTAAACTTGAGTTTGAACCCTCAAGCTCCAGTCAACTCCTACCAAATGACAAAGCGACCAATTTAAATAGATCTCACCTTGTTAGAACTAAATATGGAGAGAAGGCCTCCTCTCTTCTTGATGCGGTTACCCGAGACGGTCCCTCGCGCGGCCGTGAGGTGGTTGTGTGTGTTGTGGGGGACGCTGGAGTCCGTCGCGTCCGCGCCCGTCGCCGGCTCGTAGCGGAAGTCCTCGGGCGGCACGAAACCAGACTTGTACCTTTCTATCACCAGCATTGTGTCCTGGGAACAGTTGTGTGAGATGTTATGTTGTGGTATGGTAGCATTCATTCGTTCGTTCTTATGTTCTTTTTGCATTTAGGATGGTAATTGTTTGGAAAATATAGAGCGCAAAGGCCGGATTTTAGTGTGGGGGCCCCGGATATCTAAAGAACACAAGCCCCTTGTTCGCGCATCGCTCGAATCCGAGTGACACACGTGCGGGCACGCCGGCGGGCTACCAACGGTCACTCGCGTCTCGCGTTACCTAATTCGCCATATTTCATATTAATTCAGTCACTTCATACAGTACACTCTCTAACATTTACCAATCTCCAACACCCCTAATAATACTGCCAATAAATTCGTTTGGCTATCCTATTGTTTCAGTTTACTATGGCCCCACAAGAATGGGTTCATTATTTTCACGTAAAAAATAATAATTTAGAACACTTATAAATTGCCATATTTGTGAATACTTATTTAATAAGATAAACGATTACGAACAAACAAAATCTAATATTATTTAACGAGAAAGTAAAAAGTTAGTGCAGAAATTACCCCAATAGATTGCACCCCTTTTATATGATTTTAAGTGTATCGTCCCTCACCTCTTCAATTAAGCTGTAGTGCAAAACTTGTACTACGAAGTACTCTATGAAGTGAGAGTCAATTAAAAATATTGAACAAAGATCAAACGATATAACTATTCATTAGTCTACGAACGAAGTATACTAAAAATACTAATTAATACATATTTTTAATTTAGTTTAAATCTCTTACCTCTTTTTCGTTAATACTCTTCGCTGCTTGCTCCATTCCGTTAAGGCACTGCATAATAATTGGAAAAACTTTTCTTTCGACGTCAACCGAACTGAGCATGAAATTCTTTATATTCTTTATTCTTTTTTCATCTAAGTCCTGTAAAAAAAACAATATAATATTACCACAATCATAATTATTTGAAATACTAGCGACTCACCCTAAGTTCGCTTGGGTTCGTCCCTAGCTTGATTCCCCATACAAACTTTCATCCCCATTTTCACCCCCTTAAGAGATGATTTCCGGTTAAAAAGTATGTATCCTATATCCTTCCCAAGGTCTTAAGCTATCTTCTTACCAAATTTCATCTAAATCGGGTCAGTAGATCCAGAGATTACCCCCTACAACGTCACAAACTCACAAACTCAATCTCACAAACTTTATAATATTAGTATAGATAAAGAAATATACTTTTTCGTGACTCACTATAGTGAAAACTAAAGAGAGCTCTAAATTATCTTTAAAAGACATAAAATAATAACTAGACATGACATTCTTAATCTCTGCATTCGTCTTTTATAAAAAAAACTATGTCGAAACAATACACTATTAACCTAATCACTTGAAATACAAAAAGTTCTTTCGCGGCTAACTAGTCTAAGCTCTAAAAAGAGCTTTTAAATTATCTTTTTAAAGACACAAAGCTTTCGGTCAAGTAGAAGTCGTATTTCTATTTATTTTTTAATAAAAACCGGTAACCCTACAAACGACCCAGTTGGCGCGACGCCAGAGCGCAACCCGTAGGCGCCATACTCCAGAGACATTTCACAGAATCGTGTCAAAGTTTAAATTACTTCCTATTATTAAACATTGTTATGTAAGCCTATGGCCCGCGCCAAATAGACCATGCTATGGAAACGGTAATATTATTATTGAGTCCAAGTGCCGAGGAAAATGCTTGCATAATGTTGTTGGCACCAAATTTATTATAAAATCTGGTAAAAATCCTCACTATTATAGTTCATTAAAATATAATTCATATTAAAACACCTCGTGATATGAAAAAGTGTGTAAATAAAATAATAAGAGTAATAAAATGATTACATACAGGTATTGTTACATATTAAAATTGCTCTCGGTTCATTCAAATTGACAATGTAAAACGAAATTACGCAAATCAAGTTAAATGTCAAAGTTTATGCAATTCCTCCCTTATATAACAATTTAAAAAGCGTCGCATCGGTCGAATGCACGTAGGCAGCTAAATGTTTGTCGGACAAAGCCTGTCCATGACCTCGTACAAATAGAATGAACTTATATACGATATTACTGAACAACGACATTATAATTGATATTAATATTAAATAAGCATTATTTATAAAATTGTGAAATATTAAAATCCTTATGAAAAATACGATTTAAATAGCAGAATTAAATTTTGCCAAAAATAGTATTTAGCATAAAATTTCGCACCTGCTTTTTTCCTTTAATTCGCAGAGTTATGACTATGATTGACAAAAAATCTAAAAACTGCATTACATTCTTCTTTAAACACAAATTTAGGTTAAAATATACGAGTCAACCAACTCATTTCCGACACACAAAGTCTACATAGACTCAATAATATTATATAACTAGTATTGCCCGCGGCTTCGTCCGCGTTCAGATGACCTAAAACCAAATTCTTAAGTTTTACATATTAGTATACTCTCACATTGCAGTTTTTGTATATTTTCTCTTAAATGAGATATTTTCCCGCGGTAAAAAGTATCCTATATGTTGACTCGGATAACCAGCTACCATCATACAAAATTTCATCAAAATCCCTCTAGTGGTTTTTCCGTGATGCGGTAACAGACAGAGAGACAAAAATCTAAAAACTATAGATTCGGCCTCTGTATCGATAATAATGTCTATTACAATAAGATTTTCCAAAAAATATTGAATGTACAGATTCGGCTTAGTTACAATTTTATTATATGTATAGATAATTTACACTAAAACCTAACAGGTAATAAAAAAAAGGTATTATACCTTTTGTATTTTAAGACAAATAAGCAAAATACATGAAAACTGTTATTAAACTAACCTGTAATTGTTTGAAAACGTGCGGTAATCTCTGTTCGTAGTGCTGTCTTTGCGCGTCATTAGTTTTCCTGAGCTGGTCCATGTATTCCTGCTTCGCATCCTCACACGCTTGGCTTCGTAATTTCATGTTCGTTTTCTGTTTCTCTACTTCCGCTCGACTGAAATGAATATATGACGGAGGAGGATTTAGTTAACTTTTTCTGCAAATATGTAAAACCTTATTACTGTTTAAAGTCACTACGTTATGTGATTTAGTTTTATTCCAAATTAAGTTAAATATCGAGTAGAGCAACGTCTCGAGCGGGGTCGAGACGCCATCATGGCATTCATTGGAGATACGTGGCTTAGTAACGTTGGTTGATCATGGTGGATCATAGAGAGTTATGCTTTGACATTAGACGAGCATGTCGAACTCTGATCGGTGTCTTAGAACCCTAAATTACTACAATTGCCGTTTATAATATTAATAGTTTTAAATCCTTTATTATTTGAGCCCTGATAACGCCCACAAGATTATTACCCACTAAAGATGATATTTGTAGAATATGGATAACGCGATATATAGATATTTTATTCATCTACTTTCAAAAATGCGGATGTTTGTATGTGTATGTTTGCAACTTCTTTACGCTAAAACAGCTGAATGGATTTAGAGGAAATTTAATAGAAAGATAGACAATGATCGGGAGGAACACATAGGCCACTTCCAAATTCCAAAAGAATTTCCAGAAAATATCTAATTCATAATATTACATATATATCTTTACTTTATAACGTTGTAGATATATAATTATAGCAAATGTAATGAAGACTTACAAAAGCCACCAATCACGATCAGCTTAATTGGATACTTTATTATGAGCCACTAATAAATAACATACCTACTATGAAACGAAACCTTCTTTAGGGTTATTTATTTTATATGTATTGTTTAATAATAGAACATACGTACAGTAACTTTAAAAAAAAGATTTTTACATTTTCATGAAAAGTGGGGCGAATTTATATCCCGTGTATATTAAAATGGCGGTCCAAATGAAAAAGATAATAAAACGCTGTATGAAATCTCAACAAGAGAACAGATAGTATAAAACAAATATAAGCAATAACAGCGTTTTGTATAACAATTGAGTGATATCTTCCATATAAAATAATAAACTACGTCGAACTATGCATAAACAATATAAACTTGTCATTAGCTATTGTATAAATACAGTACCTATGCATGTTGTGAATGAGGAAATTTTTGTTAGGTTAATTATTTAAGACCAAAATGAAATTAACTAAGTATTTATATAGTTAGCTGTGAAGTGTTTACGAGGTCAAGCCAAATATACGTGAAACTGCTCTAAGCTAGCTATCTGCCCTTGCTTCGCTCACGTCCTATCACATCCGGTACGTACATATAATGAAATCTTGAAATATAACAAAATCCTTTCATATCACGATAAGAACATCGATAAGTATCCTATATTTTTACTATTATCCAGTATATTAGCGTTCCATTTCGATTTCAACCCATCCTCAAATGCGTTCATGTCATAAAATACCTAATAAACGCACTAAATTATTTCAATTTATCACTCTCTCGCTCACACGCTACAAAATTTATTCATTCACACAGTAAGAAATAACAATTTAATTTTGCAAATACATATTTATTTTACTTATATTTTATTTTTATTATGTTGCTATAATACTGTTGCTACATGAATTACTTTCACTCCAATTCCGGATGAGTTGATATCCGAACAAGGCTGCATTTTACGCAATCAAAAATATAGGTTTATTTTAACACAAGGAAAACATATGACTCAGATGAGCGAGAATAATATGAAATATTTAAAGTTGATAAAACAAATTATTATATATTAGCATTGCCCGCGTTCAAATGACCAAAAACCAAATTCTTAGGTTTTACATTTTAGTATACTCTTACAATGCAGTTTTTGTATTTTTTCTCAAAAATAAGATATTTTTCCCGCGGTAAAAACTATCCTATATGTTGACTCGGATAACCAGCTATCATCATACCAAATTTCATTAAAATCTGTCCAGTGGTTTTCTCGCGATGCGGTAACAGACAGACAGACAAAAATTCTAAAAACTATAGATTTGGACTATGTATCGATAATAATGTCTATTTCAATTAGATTTTCCAAAAAAATATTTAATATACAGATTCGACTTAGTTACAATTTTATTATATGTATAGATTTTACAGCAAATAGTTCTCACAATTTTATTTGCAACTAACCACAAGTGCTGACCGCCGTTTGTATTTGTTACATTCTAAGAACCTAATGAAACTGTCTACCCTCAGGAAAATAAGTGGAATTGATACTTTGTATAGTAAATTATTCATTTCTATCTACATATAAAACATATAAAGAGTCGTATAACATGAGATTATAACAGTCAGAAACAGCGTTGCCTTGAGCTCTTTTCTTCATCAGAATCCACTTTAACTTAGTGCCACTTGTATCGTTACTTCGTACGAATGTTCTTATTAAAGCTGTACGGATTAAAAAATTTAAACAAGTACAAGTATCGCTTATACGAAACTTTAGGCTGAGTATTTAATCGATGTTTGTTCCGAGTGTCCTCAAACACCCTTCCCAACTCCCTCGTATATCTCGTACTGACTATTGAGTAGACGCTCTTAAGAACTAGTTGGTATTTGTTTCTATAAAACGTAACGTTAAAATAGCAAACTATTGTACAGTAAAATTTTTCTTTCTAGTTTATTCATAATTTTTAAGACGGAAGACGTGACACTTAAGACTTACAACGCCTTGCATCCAATTCTGAGCTTCTTAAAAGACACAAGAACTCTTGAAAAATGAAAACACAACTTCACTCCCTGCTGTTTATTGGCCACCCCATTTTCTTATGCACTTACACTAATACGGGTTAAATTAGAACACGGCCATATTGTCACCAATACAGGGGGATATATTGAACCAATACATAACGATTAACGTCACAGATGCACGTAAGTTACATTAATCATTAACTACGACTTGAATAGTGTCCTATTTTCAAAGTAATACCAATTATTTTATATATTTTTCCAATTTATTTTCATATACCTTACCTTAAATTAAAATCTGCATCAGCTTTTTGGAAGGCATCGAGCGCTCTCTCGGATTCTCGCGCGGCTCGCTCGTACGATCTCCGCGCTCGATCCAACGCACCTACCGCTGTACTCAATACTGTCATTTGTTTCGATCCTTCGTTTAAATGTTGCTGAAAAAATTACATGACATAAATCAACAAAATTATCATATTTAATTATATAAATAAAACAATTTTCTCAATATTTTTCCGATTTATTTTTTCGAATACCTACTCAAACATAGTCACAAAAGAGACTAAGGTTTTTGAAGTTTAAAAAGTTAATTATTACTGATCAAAACGATCATACTTATTTTTACAATTACATAATATGTATATTTTATAATATTGCAAAAAAAATCTTCAAAGTAAAGAAGTAGGTAGGTATACTTTTCACAGATCTTATTTATAATTATAAGTACACTTCCAGTTATTAAAAGAAAAATGTGCCATCTTAGGTTTCTCTTACCTTCCTCTCCTCACGTAGTTCTTTGGCAAGCAGATGTAGCTCACGCACTACATTAGACTGTAAGTTTTCGGCGACCACTTCGCGTTGGCCAGCGAAGTCGTTTAACTCCAGAAGAAGCTGCCTAAATGCTTTGCAAGCTGTGTACCTATAGAACGATGAGAAACCATTTAAATAAAGAATATAACGATTTTTCTAAAAATTATAACTATTCTTCATATTATAACTTCACGAATAGATTATTAAAAGAAAAAAAATAATATTAACCATACAATGGTCTAGTTCAAGGAAGGGTTGAAAACATGTCTCGGGGCTGTAATTACGCTTAAATAATATATATACCTAAGTCTTCATTCATCATTAGGGGCACACAAGGATGGGGTCGTAAAGTTTAAAGATAAATAAAAGTGTCATGTAAACAGCATCAAGTACTATTAGTATAGTAATAGTGATAACATTATAAGAAAGATGGTTAGTATAATGCATCAACTTACAGTGAAGTTTCAAATTAAAATAAAATATGAAATATAGTATAATGCACAAGGCTAATTAATTACAAGGCATACTAACTGGTATTCGTCTTCCTCTTTCCTTTTAGGCTGGTAATTCTTGACTAGCCTCCTGCAATGAATACAAAATATATAGATGTGCAAGCAATAAATGTTTAATATCTATGTTTTTTTATAAAACTTTAAGAAAAACCCAATTTAATACTAATAATCCCCCGCGACTTTGCACGCAGTAGCTTTATTCACTACCATGAACCCATATAACATTCGCTGCATACGTTTTTCTTTTTTTATATGATACTTCAAGCTAATCCTCTGACAACCGGACATGAGAGAATCGGAATTTTATGTTTTAAATAATTTGCAAGTACGTTATAATTAAGTCCGGATTATTTAAGAAAACATGCAATCATTTTCAAATTCTAATGTAATCTTTATAATTATATAAATACTTTTGTCAGAAAAGTAAACATACAATTTCTATTATATTCCGAGTTTGTCGCGGTTTTATTTCGTGCGAATGACCGTAAGATTCTCAATATAAAATATTTATTGTAAGATCACATGGACAGATCAAATGTATAAAAAAAAAACATGTTATGTGAAATGATGAAATTTATTATAATATCTAATTTTATGATTGCATCACATAATTAATGTTAATTTTTTTTAAATAATAATTTAAAATGTTGTAGTGAAAGTGAACATTCCACGAATTAACATAAGAAACTGGTAAGGCAGGTTTAGTATGACATCCTGTTAAATACATATAATATATCCTTTTAACATATACGCCTTAATACTACGTACAACTCGAAAATATAATCTATACATATACCTATAATAAAATAGTAACTAAGCCGAATCTGTACATTAAATATTTTTTGGAAAATCTTCTTGAAATAAACTTTATTATCGATACAGAGGTCAAATCTATAGTTTTTAGATTTTTTGTCTGTCTGTCTGTTACCGCATCACACAAAAACCACTGGAGGGATTTTGATCAAATTTGGTATGATGATAGCTGGTTATCCGGGTCAACATATAGAGTACTTTTAGGAAAATATCTCATTTCTGAGAAAAAATATAAAAACTTCAACGTAAGAGTATACTAATGTGCAAAGCCTAAGAATTTGGTTTTTGGTCATCAGAACGCGGGCGGAGCCGCGGGCAATGTTAGTATTTTATAAGAGCAAATAGTAATCATGGATGTTACAATAATGAACAAATAGATTCAAAATGCATCACATTGTCAATAAGGATAATAATTAATATGTGTTTTTTACCTTAGTTTCCCTGCATATTCCAATTCTATAGCACACCTTTCCTTCACGAAGTTTCCATATTTATCTAAGAACTCAATTCCTTTATGTGTATGGGCGGCTAAGTTATCATACTGATCCTGTAAACAAAGAAAATCACTATTAGTGTATGAATATATAATTGTCATAAAAACCGGAGGATGCGCATCGCGATACCGGGTCATCAGGAACTGACGCAAAACTGATAATTTGCTGACCACAATACATTGCACAATTGTATTAAATACATTTAAAATAATATAACTTACACAATGCAGTCATAATTGCATTAATACAATATTGTTTTTAAATACGTACGAATCCTATCTATATATCTATATATATATATATATATATATATATATATATATATATATATATATATAAATGAATCCCTATTTCCCTTGGTCACGTATGGAAACAGGAAAACCTCTAAGACATTTTCAAATGTGCTAGTTGATTATATATTTAAATAGTATGCATTTTCCTTTTTCTAAATGTATTTAGCTATATACAAAAAAATAGAAATCGAAAGAGAAATTGTATAATATGTTGGTGAAAATATTCCGATAGACAAGCGCTTTTGAATCATTTTTAGGGTTTCGTAACGAAAAGGCAGTAACGAAGTCCTTATAATTACGTTATGGCAGTATGTCACAGTCATTTTATTTGTAGAAGACTATCCGTATTATATAGCTGTAGAAGATAAGTGTCTCATAGCATTGTATAAACAATGATGTTGTCAAATAGCATACATGATTTACATGAGGTGTGAAAAAAATGTGTTCACTCAACACATAAACTTGTGAGATATCTCGATGCGCGATATAGACTCACACTTGACCGACTTTTAATAGCTAAAGTAAGATTTTAAAATAAGTCATCTTATAGATAGCAGTACTGCTGATACATTATAATCAAATAATTATTCAATTTAAAATGTTAATAGATGTCTGCGATAAGACAAAGGCATCGCCCTTGACTCGCCTAGAGGTTTGCTGAGGACAACGACACTTGAAATGCCCACCTCCGTCTTATAAGCTATTTAACTAAAACGGACGCAAAAACATCTCATCCTGATTATCTAATATATATTCATAATATCTTTTCTATGTAATACTTTTTATAAACATCTTTAAGACATCAACACACTAAAATAGTTCATATACTAGTTTGAAATAGATGTAAACAAATCTGGATACATAATCACTAGATGATACTCGATAGGTGTGAATCATGGCTTAAATAATGTCGTCTCATATTCTCCCTATTTTGTGTACTCATTCGTTCCGAAAATAATCTCGTTAACTTAGTAACACTGTGAATAAGCGTTTGAGAAATAAGAAGAATAGAAATAAAGCTAGTATATTATTTTGTTTGATCAACTTTATCTAAATACATAGCTAGGTATTAATTTATCTTCAGATAATACAATGTACTCAACAACTTTCATCGCAAAAAGTGACATAAATTATTTACTTTTACGTAACACGTTTAGTCAGAAAAAAATACACAAATTGCTCATGTACTTAAGTCGCTATATTTCAGCTCGTTGTTTGCGTGCAATCGTCGATAATAAAATATGGCTGACATCGAACAATATCCGTCGGGGTATTGTCATTCTATTGCTGGGTCCTTTATCGTCGTGCGTTATATTGCATTGACGCTTTTGATTAAGTTAGTAAGATCGCCTGACTTACTAAAGGAAAAGGGTTTTAGAATCACTCAACGTGACAATTGCTATAATCTACGGAAATAAAATTATACGTGAGATTGTTTACGTTTTTTGATCGACTTAAAAAAAGCACAAGGTACTAAATGCTAATGTATATTTTGTATCTTTAACAATTGTAAAACGATTGTCATTACACACTAACATATAAATAGAAATAACAACTCTTTCGGTAAAATTTGTCCTTTTAAAGTGATTTTGATGGCGGTGAATTTTTTTAGTTAAAAAGTAAATATAGCTCGTGTACACACTACAGTAATTACATAGATATCTATATATGTATTTAATACGTATGTACATACTTTAAAATAATAATCTGATCCTATCACAGTATACTTTTTAAAATATCATTTAATTCATTGGCGCAATAATGCTTAGGCAACAACCACATCAACTTGCGAGAGTACCTCGACTGGACGTGGGAGAACTGGATTGGTGACAACTGCGAGTATTTTCCACGGCGTTAAAGAGTGTTGTATGACTAAAAGTGCATTAACTTGGCGGAATATGAATGTGGAAGCTATTCCTAGAGCCATTAAGCTACCCGGTTCCCCTCGGCCACTCGTAGTCGTCTATAGAGACTTCATTAAACTGAACACCGCCATTCCCTCTGCCATAAATGTCTGGACACTTCAACATTTACATATAAAATTATATACCATATGTTATGAAATTATACTCTATATTTTATCATATAGGCACTATGAAAGATGAATTGTAGCCTGTAGGTACGTTATGTACAATTATAAAACGAAGTCAATTCAAATGCTAGCAATCTATACATATAATAAAATTGTAACTAAGCCGAATCTGTACATTAAATATTTTTTGGAATATCTTATTGAAATAGACATTATTATCGATGCAGAGGCCGAATCTATAGTTTTTAGAATTTTTGTCTGTGTGTTACCGCATCATGCAAAAACCACTGGACGGATTTTGATATAATTTGGTATGGTGATAGCTGGTTATCCGGGTCAACATATAGGGTACTTTCTACCGCGGGAAAATATCTCATTTCTGAGAAAAAATATGTAAAACCTAAGAATTTGGTTTTTGGTCATCTGAACCCGGGCGGAGCCGCGGGCAACGCTAGTAATCAATAAACGACAAATACCGCAATAACTGCTATTTCTATCAATATGAAACATCCGGCTAGTGAAATTACATTGCGTGAGACACTTTAAGACTCAAGAAACAGTTGATAAAACTTTCGGAATCAGTTCGCAAATGTGTCCGGCGCTAGTAAAGGAATGTGTGTATCTATGGTGACATCAGTATGCGGATCACACCTACAGCGGTTACCGACACGTGTAGCGATACCAGTTACCTTGACTAATTAATAATTATATTAGAATATAAATATCATATTAGCAGCTTATAGCTCCTAATGGATTTTCAATTCTATATAATTTAATATCTATTAAAGTGCGTAACTTGTCATACGTAACTAGAAAAAATTGAAAATCTTTACATAGCGTGTCTAATAACACAATATGAACATAAAAGAAAATAAACGTTGTAAATATTTTTAAATGTTCTCACAAATGAATATAAATCAAAACGTGACATCGAGAATAAGGCAGCTATAATTTATGTAATAGATTTTGCCGCAATCATTTATTGAATAGTAGAAAATGTTTTGTTTTATTTAGAGTAAAGTAACACCTACAAATGCTCGCCATGGTCATCCATCAAATAACTTTGACATTGAACTTTAAATGAATGTGAAACAGCTGTTTTCAGCTAGTATTGTACCATCTATACAATATACATATACTTAATAAAAGTGTAACCAAGCCGAATCTGTACATTAAATATTATTTGGAAAATATTATTGAAATAAACATTATTATCGATACAGAGGCCGAATTATAGTTTTTAGAATTTTTGTCTGTCTGTCTGTCTGTTACCGCATCATAGAAAAACCACTGGAGGGGTTTTGATGAAATTTTGTATGGTGATAGCTGTTTATCCGGGTCAACATATAGGATACTTTTTACCACGGATAAATATCTCATTTAAGAGAAAAAATACAAAAACTGAATTGTAAGAGTAAACTAATATGTAAAACCCAAGAATTTTGTTTTCGGTCCCCTGAACGCGGGCGAAGCCGCGGGCAATGCTAGTTTGCAATAAATGTAAAGTGCCTCCTCCTGACAACATTTTGTTACTATACCGTGAACTAATAATATAATTTGGACATTTCATGGTTTATTGGAAAATCCCGCTTATTAAGTGTGTAAAGTGCTGCTATCTACCGCGTATTTTATTTAACTCTTGTTTGTAGATCATAATGCCGACGTCGATATTGTTTAGTGATTATGAACAGTGGCCTTGCAATCTAAGCATTCGTATCATAACGTCTCAGTTGAATGCCAATGTCATACATAGTAAATATAACACAAGCCTCGTTCACATTTATAATATTTACAATATTAATACAGTACACTTGTTGCACCAAATATCAAGAAATTGAAAAGGAAAAAAAATGTTGTATTGTATTATTTTACAGACTTTTAATCCGTCAACGACCGCGGACATGCCGGCGTTACAGTTAACAATAGATTTCTTAGAAATTTAATTAATTTCTTAGATATTTCCCTGAAGGTGTTTAGTTTCACAAAATCAATCATTGTACGTACAATATAATAGAAACAATTAAAGTTTATACAAACTCAACCCGCTGCAGTAATGAAAGAACTGTATCTACAAAGCGCAAGGAAAAATACAAGAACAAAACTCGCAAATTGATTCAAGTGTAAATAATTAATACATTTAATAAATTAAATATTTACCATAAACAACCTATACTCGTTTATTGTAAATGACTAATTTGAATAGAAATAAGCACCCAGCCTCACACATTTCCAACAGTGCTGTATTGTGTACGTATTTCCCCATTTCATCCATTTGTTTCACTGGTTAAACACACGAAGTTAGACACGTCCGTCGCAGTATGAGGTTAGTTTTCCCCTCTATTCTACCAAGTTAGCAAAAGCATTCCACAGAACGAATTCGAATATGTATGTGAACGCTTCACACAACCTATTGATTATAACACAAAAACTACGCTGAATTAACAGCGGCTTTGTTTATACTGCAGTAACCTTTCACACGGTGTTCATACTTTATTTCTACTTCCGTTTCATCTTGAATGAGTCGTCATCGAAGTCACAACTCAAACCGGAACATGGTCGCCAGCAATCGTTTGATCGACAGTGATTCATGACGGAGGAATGCCCTGACCTTAACTAATTAGCACTCATTACTCATCCCTTCTTTATCATACAACAATGCTTTCGGCCGTGATAAGATTACAATACGCCCGAGAATCAATAAATGTGTGCAATGACCTAACATAATAGA